AAGTCAAAGACCAAATTTATTGTTTTCGGTGACTACAAAAGACTTAAAAATATCTAACTAAGTAGATGTACTTTTAGGCAAAAATATAGAGGTTTAGCCTATGTTTTTGAAGAAGAGAATTTTCATTTCTGTGACTAGTTTTTCCTCAGTAATATGTTTTTAAATCTGGTTTTTCTAACACAATCTGAAAGATCAGTCCGTTATGCCTCCTTTTCCCATTCTGTTTCTGTGGAATGCTGAAGGCATGTAGGTTTACTTCATAGCCTGTGACTAGGGGCTGGGGAAAATTTTTTTTTTGTTTACAAAATATTATTGTTTCTATATTGTTTTTCACTGGCAATTGTGCTCCCAATGAACACTTGTGACTACATATGACGGGGCTTTGTTTTTGAAAAAATGCTTACCAAGTTGCATTCATGAAATTTAGAGGATATGTTTTCAGCTTTATAAAAGAATTCTTATAAAGAACTTTTCAATAAGCTTCAATAACTTTCTCCAGCCAGTAAGAAGAGATCCAACATATTCTTGGTGTGACTCAATTATTTGTCTGCATTTTATTACAATCACAACTCTTCATGGGCTTTGGGACCATATTTTGATTATGTCTCCACTGAACTATTTTATGATTTTTTTGTTGTGCTTCAAAAAGGGGTCTTACAAAATTTAATTGAAAACAATTATGATTTAAAATGGAATAATGATTAAGATTTTTCTATATTAGTATTGCCCCAGAGCAGAGAGGCCATTTGGTAGATGGGCAAAATAATATTGCTGTTTATAGCTATAGATATGCTAGTAGATAAAATAAAATTTGATGTTTATATAGGCTCAAATCTCTTTCACAAAACATTTATTAATTATAAAGGATAAAACCCAAAGAAGATATATCTTTCTAATAAATGTACCTTGTACCATTTCTAACAAATACACTATCCCAACACTTTTTTTTTAAGTCATTTGTTTTTGTTTTGAAATATATTCAGATATATTAGAGGATACAAGTCCCTTTACCCTAAAACTCCAAGTCTTGCTAACTTTTCCAACAATGTCTTTTATAACAAAGGAATTGAGTCCTGGATTGTGCTTTGCATTTAGTTGTGTCACTTCAGTCTCCATCACACCTGAACAAATTCTTTTTTGACCTTTGTGACCTTGGCTCTTTTGATGCATCCAGGCCTGTGATTTTCTAGAACATTCCTTAATTGGTTTGTCTGATGTTTCCTCATGATTGAATTCGGGCTCTGTGTTTTGGGCTACAGTATAGTGGCAGTGATGCTGTATACTTCTCATTATGTTTCATGAGTTCTGAGTGACATCAGTTTGTCTAGTCACAGGTGATATTAAAAGATGACATGAATAACAGTATTTGCTGTATTTCTTTAATATAAAGCTATCGTTTTATCCTTTACAATTAATAAGTGTTTTGTGAAAGAGATTTGAGCCTATATAAATATCAAATTTTATTTTATCTACTAGCATTAGCATCTGTTTTTGATTCCTACATGAATTATTATTTAAATAGTTGACAAATAGTGATTTCTAATTCATTGATTCCTTCTACATTGTTAGTTGAGTATCTTCCTTTTTTTCCCACTTATTTATTGACTCATTTATCTATATCACTATGGGTTCATGGATTCTTATTTATACAAAGAGATATGATTTCCCACTGTGATTATTTGTCTGATAATCAAGTTGTCTCTGAGTTGACTAGGAAAGCCCCTTAAGCTGGTTTCTGAAACCCCTCATCATTCTTTGACTGTACCTTTACTTTCTGTTATAACAAGATATCCCAGACTCTCCTTATACTTTCTGTCCTAGCCTGGATTCCACTATTTCTTTGATAAACCCTCTTCCCATTAGTTAGAAACCATGATCTCTCCAGATACTTGGAATGCTCATTGAAACTGACCTTCTCAGGGTACATTGTAAGGAAATATATATAGATATAAACACATTGATATATTCTAAAATCTATCTAATCTGTCTGTCTGTCTGTCGATCTACCTATCCTCAACTAAAATCATAAATTCATACTGATACATCAGCTTCAAAAAACACCATAGAGCTTATTCTAGCTATATCCTTTATAAGTTGGTAAAAGTGAAGAACCTGACTCGAATTTGCCTCAATATGTTAGTTTATTTGAGCAATCTGCCCGTGTTTATCAGTCTCCTGAATCCTGCCTTGCAGGTCTCCATCATAAATTCTCACTATCGTGTCAGCTAATTCACTGCCCCTCTGTATATTTTCCCCAAGTTTATTAGCTATTTTCTTCTTTTTGTCAGCCTCTCTGTGTGCATCTGTTTGTGTGTGTGTGTGCACACACACTGACAATTTAATGGATAGGGAAATTCTGTTTTGCCCTATGGGTAAGATATAATCACAAACTGATCTGATATGAGTTAAATGGACTCTATTTTCAATTACTTAGCAAGTTAAAGATTGTAATGATTGAAATGCCTATTATTCATTACTTTCAGGATATAATTGCTCTCCATTTAACAGCAATATTTAAATGTGGGTTAATTCTCTTTTATTAAGAATCATCTACATGATTACCTGCAATACATTTTTTTTCAATATTGAATTCAGTAATGGGCCTTGCAAGTTAGGAAAAATGATGTGTAAGGCTACTGGTGTTTCACAAAGGCAGCTTTCTTTTTTTTCTTTTTTTTTTTAATAAATATATCTGAAAACACAAGAGATTCCTATGATGCAAAGAAGATAAAAGCCATATCAACAAATACTAACAAAGGTTTGCAAAAGACAAATGACAGTATGCAAATAACAAAGTCAAACCTTCACACTAACAGAGAGTACTGTCTCTATATTTGCTGAAAAAAATGTTTTCAAATGCAGAGTTGCTAGACAACACATGGCTTTGCCATATTGTTGTCAAAATCTGCTCTGTAAGGAGTTTGTTTGCTGGCTATGACTTAACTATTTCTCTCTGATGGAGCTATTGTTCAGTGGTTAAATTGCTCCATTCTATGCCCCAGTATTTGTATTTACATTACAGACCCTGGAGTGGAGGATGTTTCTTATTAGTGAAGCATCTATATTGATTCTTCACTGTTCTGTAGCTTGTATCATGACTATGAGAAAGTTTAAGCTCTGATACTAACACACCTCGACATGTTTTGAGTCCTTATCTTTTGTGTTTACCTCTTAAGTATCCTTAAAAGTGAATGACCCCAAAGAGAGAGAGAGGTCTTAAATATTATAGAAGCACAATTAACTCAAGAAGCAGACTCCTGTCTATGTTCTTACACTCATCTTAGCCAAAAGACCAAAAAGCAATGTCTGGGTTCTTAAAACCTACTATCAAGATACCTAAGTCCTGTAGCTAGGGTTATGTTCACTTTCGGACAGACCAACAGTTAGGGTATGGAGATTTTATACCTGGCTTAACGGTTCATTTCATTAAGTCACAGTGCATAATAGATCCTTGACATGTTTGGGTTGAACTTTGGGACAAATAGTGAGTAATGTCAAGTTTGTTGTGCTTCAGGACAAATTTAATCTTTCAGGCTGTGTGATTTATATGTGAGACCTGTCACTCCCTCACAATCACTTAGCAGACTCTCCTGAGTTTGAAGCTCAGTACCTGGGCATCATTCCCTGCTGTTTGTGACAGTAACCATCACATGGAAAAGTATCAGAGATATTCTCAAGCTTTGGCATTTATGAAGCTCCTCTATCATACTGCCGCTTAAGGGCAAGGGTCTAGCCCTATAATACTTTATCTATTTTTTCCTCTATAATTCTAACAATGTTTTTAATAATGAATTACAGTAAACACTGAAAGTGAAAAATTGAAGGTTACCTTGTCGTTAGTGGCTAGGCATCTTCCTTCCCCCTTCCTCCCTCTTCCCCTCCCTCCATATTGCTTCTTTACCACTCCTTTTCCTCTTCCCTCCCTCCTTTCTTCCTTCTTTCCCTCTTTCTGTTCAATAAACTCTTTATCACAAACCTGTGGTTTTATATGTGATAGAATATTTTATTATCAGACCCTTGAGGCAATGGTTCTATTTGTTGAAATCAATCTTCAGCATATGTATTTCATTTGCAAGATTCACATACATTCATTTATATTGTTCACATATATTCATTTATATTAGTTCTTGCCTGGCACTTACCTTGGCTTTTATTTCTATTGCTGTAGTTAATTGCAGCATTAGTTAACTGTGTTTTAATAGTATAACAACAATTAGAAAGATCTCAGTTAAAAAGCAGCACAGAAAACCATGAGCTGTGAGGGTGCTCCCTGGTGGTGCTGTGGGTTAGAGTGCAGCATTGCAAGCTCGCCACTGCAGCTGCTTCAGTGTGAGTTTGATCCCCAACCCCGGAGTTGACCCCCATGGTACAGCAGATCTCTCCTGTCTCGCCTGCTGCTTCCCTCAACAGTGTACTTTGTTGACCTGTCTGTTCTGCTCCCCACTTTATCTCTGGTGAATCCTCTCACCCCCTGCACCTCTAACCTGTACCCCAGTTCTGTATGCATAAATAAATAAAATCCTTAAAAAAAAAAAAAGAAAACCATGAGCTATGTCTGCACATACTTAAAACTGGGGGGTTACAGTACCCATTTTATCAGTTTATTGTACCTATTGAAGAAACTTTCATAGTGCTCATCACTAATCAAGATCATAATAAATACTGATAAATATTAGAATATACAATCCACTAGGCAGGGATCATTGCCTTTACATTCAAAGCATCTAATACAGTGCCTGACATACAGTGAGTTTACTTTAATAAATACTTTGAGCTGCTGCTATTTTTCTTATCCCACTCTAGCTGTCATCTCAATTCTTAGAAAATTAAAGATAAACAATGTGGCTATACAGCACAGACTAAAGGATCTGGTTAGGTAGGTAAGTTAGCTAAAATTGCATTTGTAGGACCAGATTGTAAGGCAAATAAGTAGTCTAATATTGTGTTCTTGGGGAAACATCTTCAGAAAGGCTAACGATCTTTTATTTCGCTTCCCTCAGGCCTCCTGTTTTCCCTGGTGGTAATGTTGTATGTCATCTGGGTCCAAGCAGTGGCTGACCTGGAGAGCTACAGAACCATGAAAATGAAAGACTGCTTGGACTTCACCCCTTCTATTCTGTATGGCTGGTCATTTTTTCTGGCCCCAGCAGGGATATTTTTTTCTTTGTTAGCTGGATTACTCTTTATAATTATTGGACGACATATTCAGCTACACCATTAATGAAACAGTGGTCTCAGTATTTTCTTGAGAGATTGTAAACAACACATCTATTTTTCATTTTATTTCAATGATCCCAATCATATACTTAACTGATTTAATTCTTCAGTTACTATTTAAGTTAACCCCTTTGATTGTGATTTCTTCTAACACGAAGGTCCTAGAATTGAGCTATACACCAACATGTTTCCATTTTATCAAAGGGCTATCAAGAACTTAGTTCTCAGTGATCATGGGCCCCTGTTCCATTGAACTTGTTAGCGCTCATGCAGCATCAGTGGCCTGATAATAGCATAATACTAACACCTGGGCCAAATCAAGGTTTGATTTAAAGCCTCCTTAACATTCACTTCTGCTGCTTTAAAAAATCTTTGGAGAACAATTAAGATTTGAAAAAAAAAAAAAACACTGTCAGAGAAATCACTCCATTTCTTCACACACATATATAGACAAATACACATTTACTGACTCCTGCGAGCAAATTATTCATTATTTAAAAATAGCATTTGTTCTTGAAGCAGGAATCATGCAAACAGATGAGTTACAATGGGTCACAACAAAACGGAGAACATGTACTTATTCTGCTTTCTTAACAATAGTAGTTTGGTTATTTGATTTTATTTACTTAATTATGCATGCTTACATAAGCCTTACATGATATTTAAAAGTAGCAAACCCGTGTGCCAAATTATATATAATGCAGATTGAATTTTTATGAACTTAAAATGGTTAATTATATCTATGAAATGTGGTTGAAACTATGTTAAAAAAGTAGCCTCTTAGCTTAGTACACAGTTCTATTTAATATTTTAAAATTTCCATTTAAAAATTATATTTCTAATATGTCGAGCATGTGAAGATTTATTAATGAAAGGTGCTTTAATAGGCACTAGCTGTAAATTTTCAAAATATTTTCATATGAGGATGATAGTCTTGACTTATTAAAGACTTGACAGGATGTTATGGGTTGTAGTTCTTCTGATCATTTGATTCCCTTGATGATTGCCTTTCGCCTTCTTTATCTTTACAACAGATACAGTCACATTTAGCAGTCTGCTATTTCTTTTAATCTCTCCAGGGAAGACTTTTTGCTGGGACAAGGGGCAGAATTCTTTATTATTTACTAGCCTAGACATTCTGCACGTCAAAGATGTTTCTTTGGCACTAATTTTGATTGAAATTAAATCCGTCTGAGAAACCTTGGGTTTTTTTTTTTTTTCTTCCATTTTGGAAGCTTTCCCTGCTGAGGAAGTTGGTGTTAATGAAGAAACAGAAATGGCATACTATGCTAACTTTGTTCCAGGAGCAGCGTTTTGCTCTGCAGCTGTCGTGAATACCGAAGGCACGACTCAGACACGAATTAAAGTGACCACCTAGAAGATGTTATGGGTTGAGGGGTGGCTTTCCATCCCATCTGTCCCCATGGTGGAGAGATTGCCAGAGTCTTCCCGCACATCTTGTTTTTTTCCGTTAAACCTAGTTTCAATGGGAGGGAGCTCTGGAGGATCAGCAAAGATCTGAGGTATCTGCAGAATCATGAAGGCATTTTAGTAAATAGTGACAGCTAGACCTTGCCGTAATAAAATAACAACAACAACACTTTAGGGATCGAATTGGCTTTTGAACTACTCTGATGATTTGTGATACTTTGTCTTTTTCTGTTTTATTTTTATATTGATTCATTGATTTATTTGCTTTTGGCTTGATTATTAGAAAACATAATTCTGGGTTCTGTTGTGACTGTGATATTAAGTCGTGGCATGCCATGAAGTTTTCCCGATGATACTAGATGTATTTGATTAGTTCATGTCATCTGTAAATACAATTCCTTTTTTGTAGAACTTTGGAATGGAGCCTTTTTCTGGTGTATTATATGTCATTTAAAGTTCATATGCAAGTAGCTTTAGTAAAGGTTTGAATATTTATAAATTTCAGATGGTTAGCCTCACTTTCTAACACACTTTTGTGGGTGTCATACATTTGTCATATGGTTGGAGGCTGTCTATCTGAGTGTGTGTTTGTTACTTTTACATATACCACATTTGGAAATAGCTCATAGTCATGACGCATCAACCTCCTTAATTCAAATGCATTTCCTGGTCTACTTAGAGGCAGTGCACAGAAAGGATAAAGGTAAGTTGTGCTTGCTATGTCACTTAGTGATATATATTGGAAAATAGCAGCGATATCTAGCATATTCTTGCAATAGCCTTATATCTGACCACGTATGGTATGTTTCCTTTCATTTCTATATTCCATATTTGCTTGATTTTTAGAAGCTTTCAAATGAAGCACGACAATCTTTTCTGAGTGTTGATTTTGCATAAGTATACATATAAATTACAATTCAACAAGATATTTTTGGGTAACACTTTTAGAGAGTGAAATAAGGGTGATGGCCCTGGCCTCGGCCATGGCTGTGGTGGGATTGTGTTCACTCCATGTCAGTCCTGCATTAGTGGGTTTATTTCCATCACACAGCAGGTGGTACGAGCACTGGAACTGGCTGGGAAAGCCATACAGAAAATCTGAATGATGGTGTGCCACTGGAGGATTGAATGTAGAAATTGGAAAAAAAATATATTATTAGGTCTGAACTTACTAGTCATTTTTATGTTTATTCTGTGAAAAATATATGTATTGACTCTGGAGCTAGAATCCACTTCTAAAGGTATTTGTTAACTTCTGTCATCTCTCTGCCTATTGGCACGTGTGTGTTACAATTTTAAGGATGGTTAGAAGGAGAAAAAGTGAATGATGGAACCAGTATATTTGTGATATGCAAGTTTAACATAGTTTCTCTCAGGGATCATAAGATAGCTGTGTTTCCCCTCATTGATGAAAGCCTAGTCAGTTCAATGAATAATTTGATATAGTTTCATGGAAATGACCAGATTAGGGTTAAAAAGAAAATTAAAATGTCAGAGGGTAAGACAGGTATAGATGCCAGCAAAACAAACAAACAAACAAACAAAAACCCTGGACATATGTTAGCAGATGGGTAGCCCTGTAGCAGTGTTAGAAAAACCAATAGTGCCTGGTTACATGGAAAAAAAATGGGTTAATGAGTAAGAGGATTGTCCCCAATTTAATTTTGGTGGGACACCACCAGTTATGGGAATTCACAATAAAGAGATGAAAGCAAAACTAATTTTTTTGACTGTGAGGAGTTACATAGATCTAACTTCAGTAACTATCAAGTATTAGTAAAGATATCTCAACGAAAACATAGGAAAAGGAAGATGGTATATCTGACATGTTAAAAACATAAGAAGGTGGGCAGAGAGTTCACATCATACCTATCATAATAAAAGGAAACTAGACAAAGGAACATTTAACATGGTTAGCATAGGAAAGTAAGAAAAACATCCAGATGGAGTTCAACATTTCCAAACCAGCTAACATGCAAGAGCTAGGAGTTCTGCCTTCGGACCATTAAGAACAGACTGGACCCATCCATGGGTGAGGATAGTTAGGGATAATAGTTTCAAATGATAATGGAAATCCGCCAGGAGGGCCACTCTGACTTTTACCAGGTCATTTCCTTCCCTACTGTGTAGCTATGATGGTCAAAAATTGAAGGGTGGCCCTCCCTTGTGGCGCAGTGGGTTAAAGCACTGCACAAAGAAGCTTAAGCCACTTCCTCATGAGTTCAATTCCCACCTGCCCCCGGAGGAGACCACATGGCGTGGCAGACCTCTCCTGACCCGCCCGCTGCTCCCCTCAGTAGTGTACTTCGTCGATCTGCCTGTTCTGCACCCCACTCTGTCTCTGGTGAATCCTCTCACCCTCCGCATCTCTGGCCTGTACCCCAGTTCTGTATGAATAAATAAATAAATCTTTAAAAAAATTGAAGGGGTAGTTGCATAGTGGAATTTTGTAAAATTATTCACCTCTGGAATCATATGATATAGCCAAGACTTCTTTCTTAATGTATTCTCTTATGCAGAATAGATATATGTTTCTATGTCTACAGACACAGATAGGCTGTGAATTTGTAAACTATGGTCAGTCCTATAAAGAAAAATACACAAAGCATTGACAACTAAAACCAGGGTTATTGGATAGTCAGGGACGTTCTTTCTAAAAGGGATAATTCTGAATTGAAGGAGAGAATTCTGATACAGAAATAATGTTAAGGGATCATCTGGGTGAAAAATATTAATAGACATTCTCAGTAATGGTGACTAGTGGGTAAAAGGACTTAAGTGTGGAAAAGAACTTGACATTTTCTGGGAACAACAAGGTGGGATTGCCTGGTGGGCATTCATGGGAGAGACTTGTGATGATGAAACTGGAGAAGTAAGAAAGACTCAAGAGCTTTGAGGCATTATATATTGTAAACAGTAAAATTAAAAGAACTTGCTAAAAGGTTGATACTGAAATCAAGAGTCATTCTCAAATTTCAGCATAAGCAAATGGTATCTGGAGAAGACAGGAGTTAGTGAGAGAGAACGGAAGAAGCTTGGGGAAGAAAGGAAGCCATGGCTTATTTTAGTGATGTATCGCTTCATGCTTTATCATTTGCCCATGCTAAAATACTGACGTGATATTAGATATGGCCAGCGGGAGCTCAGTGGAGCGATCTGAGTTTGAGACTCACATTTGAGAGTGCTCATATTTGAAGCCATGAAAAGAACGATAGCACAGGGAGGATGGTTAGACAGAGCTACTCTGCTCTGGAGAAACCAACGTTCCAGGGATGCATAGGAGACTGAGCAGGAGAGGTGAGCTGGAAAGAGACATAGATTTAACGCAAAATGTGATCTCAAAAAAGTCTGGAGGGGAGGATGTTTTGAGAAGGGACCAAGTATTAAACTTTACTATTGATAACACTGTTGAGAAGATTATTAAGACAGGCAAAGAAAGGTGATCTTGGCTCCAAGAACTTAGAGGTTGTTAGTGGCAATGGCAGTAGAAGTTTTAGCATTAGTAGTGGGTATGGAAGCCACATGTGATTGGTTTGAGGAGTTCCTGAGAAGTGACAAAGTGGAGGAAGCTTA